AAGAATGTCACGAAAGTATACATTGGCAAAAGTAACTGTGGTGTGAGAAAGCCTGATGAAAATGGTTAGATGGATTTGTAAAAAGAAAACGTGAGATTACTATTACTTTTAAATTTATAAGATTCTCTAGTTGATGTTCGTAAGGTCGTAGAAACAGATGACTGAAAACTTTAAGTGAAATTACTTAAAAGCACTCCCACTAATACAGATGCTGTTGGAAATGATGAACATACTTGAATTTAGTTTACATCATAGAGTGACATCAGCTAGAATAACCACTGAGAATATGAGAGCATTCGACAGTTTAGCCCTAGTTTGTTACCGCACAGATAGATAAATAGATAAAACCAACGTAGAACCTGTTGTGATGCCTCAGTTTTGCATAAAACATTGTTATTGATCTGAACATTTTAACGTGTCATTCCCATACCATTTTTACGGTATAACTAGCAGTCTATTCTCTGCCCCTATTGTAATGTAAATTTCTAATTGGTTAATCTTTACTCTTACTATGTAAATGCCTAAACTTGAGGACAAGGTCATTCTTCATGTGTATACTTATTCACGTGCTTTGGATTGATTCATTATTATGTTCTCTGAGTAATAAACTCTCCCATCTGCCAGCTTCGGTCTTCTCTTTATTCGTCCCGAGGTTGCAGTCAGTGGCTCTTGCGTACCAAGTTAGCTGTCAGCTAGGCGTGCATATTATATTCGTTCCGGAATATATATATATATATAACCATTAGCGTTCAAAAGTATAACAGAACCTTGCACAGAATCGCATCCGTTCAAGTTGCCACACTTCACAGAAGCATCCAAAGAACAAGCAGATATAAAAACGCTCATATCAGAGTAGACAAAACTGCATAGACGAAGGAACAATTTGAAAATAAAGTTAATGAAAAGATTCAAGCTTTAGAAGACGTCAGGAAGTGAATATGTTTCCATCACTGTATTCAATTTCCACTAAGAGTCTCCAACCACTGATTTCTATCAACCCGAAGACCCAAACCAAGCAGGTCACACCTTCCCACACGGATAGGAGCACGAATCAGATTAACTTGCCTTCCTTGCCTAGTGCGTTTCACCTAACCTCGACGTTGCTCACATGGTGATTTCTGCTCAAGGCGTTTAGAGGACTCCGTATTTATCAATGTCCTCAACAAACAGTACAATATCATCATCCAAGCCAACCACAGGTCATCCACGTAGTGTATCGTTTACTGTGAAACCAGAAGTACTTAGGGTTATATCTATTATTACCCCTGTAACAAAACTGAACAGGAATGGTGACGGCTGCCGTGCCGGACGGACACCACTAGTTGTCTTCAATTCACATGACGACACCCCAGCCTTTACACAAATGCATGGGTTCTAGTAGAGAGCTTTCATCACCATCACATACTTGCTCGGTACTCCCTTCACGGTCGGACATCCACAACACCTTAAGGTCAAGAAATATGACAAGTGTGGGCCCACCGGTAAGTATGCCTGTGTTCTAGAACCCATCGAAGGATAAAGATATGATCGAAGTATTCTCGATGAGGCATGAAACATTCCAAGTTTTCTCGAGATCCATATAGGCATCAGATAAATAGAGACCCAAAGATCTTGCACGTTACGTCGGTTAGATTGATTACCCTACGGTTGTCATAAGACTTTTCTCCCTTCTTATACACTGGATTGACCAGTCTAAGGAAACTACCTCTGATTCATATACACATACCTAGTACTTCGACCTTTAAAAACGTTGGATGGAAAACAATCAGATCCTGCAGTTTGCATCGTCTCAGGTTCGGGATCGCCTTTTCAACTTCGAGGAAAGTTGGATAATCTACATCTACATCCCACTCAGGTTCAGGCAAGACGTTGAGTAACTGGAGGGTTGGTGTGGGTCAGTGGGTCAGTGTCCCATCCAACGTTCTAGCCCCCTGTCTTTAGACGTGAACAACTTCCCATCCTTTCCGATGACAGTTTCACCAATTATCATCTTGTCATCAGTATCCTTAATTAGGTAAAATAATTGACAACTGTTACTTAATTCTGGTGCCTTCTCTGTCTCTCTCGCTTTCCCCAACCACTATTGTTCACAATGGTTGCGACAACTCTTGGTCAGGTTACTTTTACGTTGCTTTTACTCTTCGTTGTGGTCACAGCCTGCTGAAACCAGTCTTCTCACATCAATCAGTTTGGATGATGTTGCGGAAATCCATTGACTTCTGCTAACCTCCATACGTGGGCTACTCACAATCTTTACTGCTACTTCTATAAAAGACTCATTACCCAGACAGGTTTCCTCAGGATGAGCATGGTTATCACGTTCAGATGAATGTTTAGCTAAATCCTTCCTAAGTACAAGCACTTCACGTTCTCGTCTTCCAATCGGGCTCATACACGCTTAACGGCCGCCTTTTTCCTGCGACCAGTAAGGCACAGACGTAAACGTGAGCATACTAACGCGTGATCGGAGTCCGAACAGGTATTCCAGAAAGGACGGCAATCCTTCACTGATCCTCTCCAACGATGGCTTATTATAACCAACATAATCTATTCATGTAAATTATTGGATTAAAGCCCCCGAACGTCATGTGAGACAGTGTCTTTCCTTATGCCAAAAGTTAGCGCTGGGCGGAAACAGATGACTATCAGCAAAAAATTGCAACAGACGATTCCCCTTATCGGTTTATTGGCATGGAATTCCGTAAATAACCCCCAAGATGTTTTTCCAATTAGCTCAGCTTTCCAGGTGAGAGTAAAAGTCACCTACTATTATGACTATCTGAATTTTGGCTTTCTGTAATAAAATTGACAGCTTTGATAGAATTCATTCTGTCATCATCCGAACTGTAGTTGTTTGGCGTGTAGGCAGAGATTATAAATAGGCACCGGTTAGTCAAATGATCCGTCTAGGGGTTTTACAGATCCACTCAGTCATACAGGACATGGTGGTTGTTGATTGGTATCTAGTCTTTTGCTAGAAACTCATTGCAATGCCTTTACCAGTAAGCTCACAAGAGCCAAATCAATAAATCTACAGATACTCTTAAGGTGAATTTTGAAGATTCATTACATTGACAAGGTGAAGTCAAGCGAATAACTATATTTATGCCTTGTATACTTATCCCAGAAATACAACATACATCTATGGATTCAGATTCAAGAGTTTTAGCAAGTGATACCTGTTATCTGATCTAGAATATGTTTTGGAAGTAGGATACGACAAGAAACCGACAGCCGGGTCCTATGGGATTAGGAATAATGTTTCGCTGGCTTGAATCGTTCGCGATGGTCGCAGAGGGAAAGAGGTTGAAGAAGCTGTAGAAGGTTTCATATTGGTATCAAGAAATGAAGACAAGGGATAAAACAAAGGTAAGGAAAGTTAATTATGATCTGTTAGGTTTTGTATACTACTGAAGGTGTGTGGGCAGTCAACACTTATCAGCTGCCCACACCACGGAAAACTAGTTCTTGGGGTTCCTAAGAAAGAAGGGTTAGTGTGTGACCACAGAGTCCAACAGATATCTGCTTGAGCCCGGTCAGATAAGATGTTTTTAGAAGTTCGAGGTTTTAGCTTGCTTTTCTAGAATCCGACTAGGAACGCATATCACCAGCATCCGTATGCCACACGATAGAGGTAAGACAATCAAAATTAACGGTTGGAGACTCTATGTGATATGACTCAGAATCAATCACAGTGGTGTAGATGCATCCATATCTTATCTCTATCATAATCATTATATCTTCTTATTTGCTTCAAACCCTCCGCTTTTTGTTTATGGCTTCCTACAACTTTCATTATATTATTTCCACTTATTTGTCTTCTGTTGCGTTGCCTTGTATCTTTGATAGGTTGATGTGAAATATAACATCTTAGATTACTAGACAGTTACGTCATGTCCGAAATTGATACTGACTGACTCCAAGAAGATATCACTTTTCCAATCATCAGTATCCCTGACACTTATGCATTCATCCTGCTCATTACCGGTGATTACCATTTTTTATCCTCATTCAACGCGAACATTCAACTGACTTTAGGTCATGGGCGAAATTCAGAGTCAGAACTTATATACCCAGATAGATGAATAAGTTGTGTTGCAATGTACAAGAAATATTTCACACAAAAAAATCATCGAAAAATATCTCACTCACAGCTGGGTTTTTTATTAATACACGTTGTCCTTTGCCAGCAGCTAATGACAGGAGAGTACGTTTCAATTCTTTTTCTTCAATACCCGTGTTTTCAGCTATCGTTGCGTAAGTGATTGGAGTATTGTCCGACTTATTGAATTGTAGTAACACTAAGGCTTGTAATTCAGAGACTTGTAATTCTTTGCGGAGATTCGGTGTCTAGCGAAATGGGAAAATATAGCGATTGAAATAAGATGAAAATGGTGTAATGTTTAGTGAATTGACACAGCACCAGAGTGAAGCACTTTCGTTAAAAATCGGGGACAATATGGAAACGTTTCTTGAACGAAATGGAGAAAAATGCTTGCCTACAATTTCAAAGCTAATTTTCCCATAAATGATAGTAAATGATGGAGCATCTAATCAACTTGGTTTAAATAGGTAACCTGGTATTGGCATGAACCAATTTCAAAGAATATCACATTTTATAACATGTTACAGGAAGTAATACCAAGAAAGATTTAGAAAGAGAATATTGGGCCTTAATCAAAAACAAGCTAAACTAGTACTTATGTTTTAGTACAATAGTTTCATCTACGAAATCTGTTTCTGGTTGTATTGTGTTCTCTGAGCTGGGTTGTTTAATCGTGAAGCTTTCATCGCCTTGCTAGACGACATCATCAGCACTAACTTCAGTATGAAGTCAGCTGTCAATATCTCTCCGTGAGTGATTTAGTAGCTTGCTCTGACAATGTGGTCTGTGATCGGTTGTTTCCTTCGATTGTTGTGTCATTGATTGTATAGACTTTCCTGTTGGCTGTTACTCTGCTTCACCTCTGACCTTTCTGTTGTTTATCATTTTTCTTATTGGTTGATAGATCGATTGATTGATTGCTGACTGACCTGAATGCCAAGCTTCTAGAAATCCTCTGACATTCTTTGTGTTTCCTCTGTCCGAAATTCCTACATTGTTGAAATTGAATTCATGTCCATAATTATCTATGTGCATTGAAATGAGTGACGAAGTGTCGTGGCGTTTAATAGCCAATTGGTGCTCATGTAGACGAAGACGAAGAGGGCAGCCACTTTGTCCAATATAGTGTTGACTACAGTTATTGCAGTTGATTTTGTAAATGATTTTCGGTTTGTCTTCTTTGCTTGTTACATCCTTTGATCTGCATAATAGTGTGTTTGCAAGGAATTTGTTGGTTTGTGAGACACACCAATTACAAGTGGTCTCAGCAATCTTAACGTGATTTCTGATACATTCTTTATGTATGGTAGGACGATGCGTTTGTTGATTTCTGTCGATGACTTTGTAGTTGGTGATGTACGGGGTAGGCATTTTCTGATAAAGTTCCGTGGGCAGCCGTTCTTCTTCAGGGTGAACATCAAGTAATTTTCTTTGTTTCTCCTTGAAGTTGTTGTGCTGCAGTGTGGTCTCGCTCTTTTGAATAGAGTCTGCACACAACTGATTTGTTGCTATTGTAGTTGAGGATTTGGTCAGTGTGTGTTGGCTTCCTGTACACTTGGGTTTCCAGCTTTCTGGCATTCGTCCTACTAAAACGATAAAACAACTCAGCTCAGAGAACACAATACAACCAAAACCATCCACCTGAGCTACAAATATTCTCCATTATTTCAAAATCTGTTTCTCTTTCAACCAAAAAACCGTTAATCCTGTAGGTCGAAGCGGTAATAAAAAGCAGTCGAAATCGAAATCAGTAGTCAAGGTCACCGGTCGCCAACGTAGAATTTCGGGATTTCAACCTTGGTTTCATGTTACTGTGCGGGCGGAAAAACCCTATTGAACAATTTTATCTCTCAGCTGATCAATGAAAATGAATATCCAACTTGTGACCTTCATTTTCTGAGGAAAAACTGTATATAAATGATTGGCTGTTCTCCATATATAAGGCTGTCTTCCTTCCAGTCATAGGCCGGTCTTGGTCTTCTGATTTCCGCGGTTCAGTGAAGCATCAAGTCTGAGGGAGAACAATCGCGTTTTGTTTTCAGTCTAAGTATCGCATCACGTAATCATTATTATCTAAGCAGTCACATAAAGTGGAATTCGCTGAGAAACCCCGGAATTTGAGAGAATTGCACTTTCTAAATAAACAATTCCACATTTGATGATTTACACATGCTTTCAAATTTGGATAGATCCTAATCGACACGCTATCCAGTAACACAACGGTTAGAATGATAGAAAAATACTGCCCAAAGAAGTACAAACGTGTACGCTAAATTAATAAACAACAATTAGTGCATAGAATACCTCCGAGAATGTTTCGCTGCTGACATAGTTAAAGTGACTTTAAAGATGAACAAGACTTGCGCAATAAGGTATGCACATTCTCTTTCTAACTCTGCTCCGGCTGCAGAAAGTCTAAAGTTGTTTAAAAGAACAAAATATATAGAGTTTCTAAAAGCTGAGAGTAACACGTTTTTTGCAACTATCAGCGAACTTAACTCGAGCGTTTACAACTTAACAGAGTAAAAGCAGGGGCTAGATTATTAAGCTAAATGTTACTATTCACTGAAATGTACCATCAAATTTTAGTCATAAAGACTCACCGTCGGGAATTTCGCTCTTACGACACAAGTACCCAATGATGGTTCATAGATCAATTTTCGACCTTGATGATGAGATAAATAGAAGCGCGTAAATTCTTCTCGAAGTGAAAGCATCTATAACAAAATAAGTGACAAAATCTCTAAATTAATTTCAATCAATAAGTTACGTAGTAATCAAATGAATGAAGTTAAAACAAGGAAATATTAAATAAGACATGACGCCAATTTCAATAGAGAGTGGAAAAAAGATGCAAGACGAAGGTATCTGATGCATCTGTACTACTTTTAGGGTTTAGTTACTGAGACTGTTTTCAATACTACAGAAACAGATAAATTTTGAATACTTGTTTAAAATCAACTCTTTCCGAGTATTCATAATTTGATGAGGCTTACTGAAATTGACTTATTAATACACGAAAATATAGTATATCACTAATCCTAGTATAACCATATCGAATTGCAGATTTTTGTACTGGCTGAAAAAACTACCACCAGCGAAATTTCGCTCGATACGGTATTCACTCACCAGTCCAAACCAGACGCTTATATGTAATAATTATTTATTTTAAAAATATTGTAGAAAGTAAGTTTTTTGAAATGTTACATGCTAAGAATTTCATACTGTGTAATACATATTGTTTGGAATAAAGTGGTTATTATTATTTACGCAAATGACTTCCAACTAGTGTGTCACTGGTTCGAACATTGTGCCACCTACTGAAGTCTGAACAGCTGAGTTTCCTTAGTGTATAAGCAATAGAGTTTCTTATTGCATTTTGCACATAATCGCTGAGTTATATTTAAATTTTAAATTGCAGTTACCTTCAAAATAGGAAGAGGGATAAATGAGCTCAGAACCTGACACAAGTGTATGAGTTCAAATTATCACCCTTCATAGAAGTATGCAAAGAAAGAGTAGATAGGGAAATAATGTAACTAAAATACATGAAAATGCATGTATGTGTTAATGCCCCTGGCCCTACTGCCTTACCTCGTTTCCGACTACTAACAGCTTTCTCGACCTTTTTAAGTATTGGGGGCAGGTAATTTCCACACTTAACCTCCTCCACTATAGTACCTCTGCGCTCCATTTTTCTTAGTAAGTTTAAATAGTCATCTACAGTTACCTATCACCGCTGCCTTTTCCATCTATTTGACTTTCACTGCCAATCACTGCTCGGTGTCATTGCCTAGACCTCTTGTCACTCGACATCTGAGTTACGCCCATTACTATGCTCGAAGCCTGAGATAATACGTTGGTGTGTATTCACTAATTCAGAAGCTGAGACCTACTGGTCCCTTCTTACCACTCTGAGAGTCCTCTACGGTCCTTAACGGTGTTTTTATAAAGAGTAGAGATGACCCCAGGTCTCTTTTGGATGAGTGAAGCTGCTCAGTTGCAATAAATGTCTGGTCGGTTTTTCACTGAAATAAGCCTTAGTAGGATTCTGTATTCTGTATAAAACCATGCTAGGAAAAAGGGGATAGTTAGTACGACATAGTGTGTTGATCAAGACTGGAGGTATGAGTCATGTAATAACGTATCCAGTGGTTTCGAAAATAAGACGCTTGTCATGGTGTCTAGCATTTCTGGATTTCATTTCCACAGTATGATTATACTTAGATTTGTCGACAGTTTTGTAATTTTTATGTTACGTTTGTTTATTTGACATACGAAATTGTTTATTCCATGCTGTTTCAGATAACTTGTATATAATACTGTAACATAGTGGGATATATTAAATCGGCAAATTTAGAATGGATTTATATACTACAACAGAACCAAAGTTCTCTTATGTAGAGAGTTACCAAATAAGATAAAATGTTTGACCCTTAGTCAATGATTTTTCAACTAGTCCTGATCAGCTTGCACATCCACTAGAAACTTTTGACATCACTGACTTTTCTCACATAGTCACTTAAGCTAAATAGAGTATTTGGTTACTGTCTATGTCAGCTTTCTGGAACTTTCGGTTGAATAGAATATGTGAATGTAACTTCTTGAGACGTTTTCTCAAAACCCAATAGATCTCTTTTTTAATACACAGTACCAATCTCTGATAAATGAATTCATTTCCATCGTATTTGCTATATATGTTATAGATTGTAAGCAACTGGTGAGAAAGTAAACATTTAATTAGTGTAATTTTTGCTCAAACTATGATCACTGATCAGTTGCAGTTTACATAAAGAGAATGCCTGTATGAGACATTGGACTATCTGTTCATGTGAAACCATAACCAATACCTGGAAATATTATATATATATATATATATATATATATATATATATATATATATATATATATATATATATATATATCAAATAACTAAACTCACTTCAGGAGGATAATTTGCTGTTGTTTGTGGATAAGGTGGCCAAGACGCTGGACAGATAACATTAACGCTCAATTCGATTGAATAATTATCAGGTAAAGACAAACGGAAATTTTTACTCAGTTGCTTGCTGAGTTCAATATCTTGAAACATAGTTTCCATTTTGCGTGTATAATTAGGACCACATTCTAAAAAACAAGTGTTCATTCAAAAAGGTTTCATCATATAAAATGAGTTTAATTTTTATTACTTTCAAAAGAGAAAACCGTAGTATGGAATAAATGTTATACAAATGATGACTGATTCTTTCCAATAAAAATATCTCAGTTGCATGAACCTTTTCTGTTATTAACGAATAAGCGGAAAGTCATAAAATGAAACATCTGCTTCGTAAAAATGCAATGACTTTATTTATTATTAACTCGGTACTAACGTAAGAATGATTTGTGCTAGCTATCAATCCGATATTCTGTGAAGACAACTCTGGAATTCACTCATAGACGTTAGGTCGAAAAAACATCGAAATGCATTCGGCGACCATGTGGACGTAAGTGCAGTAGGCAATGAGTAACACCTATTATGTGACAGCTAATGATACATATTAGCTGTTCAATCCTCTCGGTAGGTGGAGTGATGTTCGAACCCATGACCAATTGATTGAAAGTCATCTCCCTAAACCAATGAACCATAGCTCCACTGAACGTTACTTAGTGGTGAATAAAACAGTAAAAACTTAAGTCATCGTCATATGACACGTAACATAATCGTGTCTATTTTTCAGAAAATCTGAGCTGTCACCTGATGCACTGAATTTAACTGATTACATTAAGTTAAACAACTGATAAAAACTTCATATTACATTGATAAAATGCTCCATAATCTTTGGCATTTTAATAATTCGAACCGCATTTTCCATCAATACACGGACGTAAGATCAATCGAAAAGTCTTACTCATGTAGTATTACAGTTAAGTTTCGCAAAAAGTGATTCGATAGAGACATTCTTCCTTATGTAGTGAACTGTGTATAGTTCCAACTAAAATGTCACTGACTAATGAAACTGTTTGGGACCCATCAGACCCCGATAACTGTCAGAAAAGTCTCCTAAGCTATCATGGCAAAAATTGTTGAAAAGATTCGAGTTCTAATGACTGGAAAGCTCATAACGTATGAAGATACGTGCAGTAAAGCAACTTCTCTTATTCTAAAAGAAATCAAGCTTATTTAGGTGACTACGTATACTCAGTAGTTAAAGATAGTGAGTTTGTTGAATTTTTGAATAAAGATGTTTGATACAGTTTAACTTCTCATTTCACCAGTGAAGATTTTGGAAAACAAACTCAACACAAAAAGGACAGTATAGAGAAACGATACAAACCAGAGCAAGGTATTTTTTAACAAGTCTCTAAAGCCTTCAAAAGAAACCGAGAACTGCCCAACTAGATTAGTCAGCCAGCATCAACATGAAACCTAACATTACTGCGTAACAGTCTATTTGTAGACCTCATCAGCACATCAAGGTGTGAAGCATCAGAAGGTAAGATAGAGAAAGTGATGGAAAGTTGTAAAAAGAAAGAGACAAAAATTAGGCTTGAAATAAGATAGAATTTATTACTGAACAGTATGAACAGTTAAAAATTAACTCATATTTTGGGGACCATATCAGATCGATTTTAACAACAAACGGCAATTCTACTAGTTTGGAGCTTGACTTATTAGAGTAGTATCCAGATGAATTCAAGAAGCAGAAGTACCGAGTCGTTCAGATTGACTGAATTCGGCTAACATGGAGGGGTGAGTGAAAGTCATCTGCTATTTAGACTACTTTGATCTGGCCAGCGAAATTAGCACATGAATGGTTCCCTGCTACTTATGTTTATTAGCATATTTTGTTAGTTTGCTAGGAAAAATTAAGCGAGCCACACAAAGCAGACAGGAAAATAATTAAACAGACTTATGGTATGCTTCTTATTCGGTTGTAGTTGCCAGACAGAAAAAATTTTCTTGTTTAAGTTTCCCTTGCAACAGAACCTGTATTGTTTATTGCTATAACCAGACACTATCTCTAAGTCACTTAAGTCGCAATCAACTTCACCAGAAGTATATCAACTAGACAAGTGGGTTATCAAATGGTAAACGACTTAGTTTTCTCATCTTTAGTAGTGATCAACCTTCATTAATCACATCCACAAACCTAACACCAATTACATTAATACCATACTATCTTGTTACTAAGTGGCTACAACACAGTAGTTAACAGACTATAAGACTAATAATAAAGACTTTAGTGTTACGGTGATAACCACGTAGCACTTTTTCAAAAAATATACATGCATATATAAACTGTAATCAGCTCCAACTATGAAAACAAAAATGTTTAGACTATTCCAGAAAAGTAGTCACACCGAATAACCCAATGAATGATAAGCTTACCCTGTTTCAGTTTTGATAACATTGCTTTTTCTGCATCAACTGATGCACTCTTGTTGAGAAGAAGACGTTTCGCTAATTCTTTGGTATAAAATGCTTCGAAAATATCTTTTCCATCAATAAAACGAAACAAAATCATAGCCTGAAACCAATACACACAAACAACTCACAGAAATATTCCTAAGTGCAAATTAATTATGCCAATACACAGTATGCGCTCCTTATAAATTACTCATAACATACAACTAACTGAGATATAAAAAGTGTAACAGTATAATCGCAAAGTTATATTACTTGAAAAACAAGTAAATACTAAGAAATAGTGAATCTTACACTTTCGCTAGAGACTTGCTGGTGATGTGAGTTTCCAATTCCTACTACGGTCAAACCCAGTGCTTTATCTGATAGTAAGAAAGTCATGATCTCCATCACTTCGAAAGTCAGTTATGAGTTACACAGATAAAGGCACGGAAACGCAACAAAGTAGATACATGAAAAGTCTACTCACTCAAGTTCCCACAGTTTGCAAAAGCATAACGAAAAAGAAAAAACTAGATGAAAAAGAATGATTGATACTTTCCAGATAGTCCACTATTTTCATTTTACCAGTGTAACCTGCCAACCACAGAACCGTAGCGAGAAGCTCAGTCTTAAAAGTTTTATGAGTAGTAACCGTTGATGAGGTCCAAATAGGGAAGAGTCTTTACAGTGCCTCTAAATGTTAAGCGGTCACTTCAACTGTTGCTGAATGACAAAAACTATCTCTAAAATACCCAGCTAATTAACATTTCCCAATTATGATTAACCAGTAAAGAGAAACCACATATTTTTCAAAAATTAAGGAATGAAGGGTGTTAGGGGTGTCCATCCCTAAAAAAACTAAATTATAATACATACATATTTGATTACTGACAGAGTTGTGAGGGTGGTTGACACTTCCCGGCTGCCCACACTGTGGAAGGCTATTTCTTCTTAAGGTACCTGAAAGAGATTTGTGTGACCACAGAGCCTATCGGACATCTGCTTGAGGCCTGTCACACGTAGCCTTTTGTGTATGATTATTTTGAACTTTTGTATTTTTGGGGCCGGATGATTGAAAAGAAATGACAAATGAACCGACACCGCCAGCCTGTCAGACCGTGGGGTATAGTGGGGTGTGTTATTTTGGGGGCCAACCTTTTCTAACCCCCCCCTTCCACTGAGAAGGCAGTATCAGCATGGTACTGCTGGTCATCCAAGGGAAACACCTTACTGGTCACACCTCATCCAGCTAGCAACAGTACGACTTCGCGCTCAAACCCCCATCATAGTGTAGTAATTTACACCACAACGGTAACTGCTTTTCGTCTAACCACTATCCAACAGACCTTTCTGGTATGGTAGGTCCTCGAGGGAACAAGTGTTCCACCAGCATAGCTCGTTGGGTCATTGTGATATGCAAAGCCAACCACCACATCAAGGTAGCAGCTATCGGTCAATCAGTTAGTGGATAATGGACGAATAGAAAAGTTATAGGAAAGTGGAGAAAGTAAACTATCCAGTGGTCAAGACAACAAATTACAGCTTCAGTAAGCAATAACTGAAAAACATTTGATATTTTTCATCACAAATTACTCCGTACAACAAATTTGGTGGTCGGAAACTTCTCAGCGCTTAAAGTACAATTTCTGTATATTATATACTTAGTAGTTAAGACACAGTCCTGTGGTCAAAATTACCAGGGAAATGTAACTGTATGATTAGTAATTATTTTAAGATAAATTCTACAACATATTTAAGTCATATATAGTGTTCACTGAGCAACCAACTATTTTAAAAGATATCAATGGTCCGAATGAAATGGGAAATTACAACCCTATGGAAAACATGAAAATATTCTTCTACGCACACATAGAAGACCTGTGAACAATAAAACTGAACACTTACTTTATCCATTAACTTATCCAACTCTTCTTCTGTTTGTGCTTTGTTACCAGATCTGAGGTGCGAATCAAGATACTTAGCTAGGAATTCAGCCGGTTTGTTTGGGCGTTGGTTGATAAACTCTTCATATGCATCTTGTAACACACGCATAAAACTGGAATCGTCAGCGAAGCATGATACAATGATTTCCGAAAGAAAATCCCGTGAATCTAGTAAATTCTGAATCATGACACGATCTTTTTCAGCATCCTGAGTTGGATTCTCTACTATTTCGCGTCCCATCTGTATGATGTAGTTACGAAAATGTGTCCGTAATTTATCAATACCATTTGGAACTCTTGAAATTAGAGAATAGAATAATGATAACTGAGCTATTTGTTTTGTTTTCAAGGGATTGACTAAACCATTATCTAGTAGGTAGTCTAATGGACGTGTTAAGAGCTCTGAGACTAGTGTTGATATAAGCAAGTGGCGAGTTGAATTGGCATCCAAATACACAACAAGTCTATCTTCTTCCTCCATAATTCTTTTGTCTACATGAAGTAGGTATTCAGGAACACTAAGCTGTCTAGCCAAAGAATCCGCCTCGTAAGTGTATAACTGTTGGCTTTTGCGCAGAAATTCAGTAAGAAATATTGAATCATACAGCTGAATAAGTAAGTAAATAAAAACTTGTGAGCTTCAGCAAACAAACCTAAAGATTATAAATGATCAAATTTCCTTGTTAAGTATTCCGTTAGTTAAGAAAATACTAGATAAAAGAGTGCATTAAAAAGACTGTGACAGATCCTCAAACAGGTCCCTCGAGGTCTTTAATCGCTGGTCCCCACCAAAGAACTTAAACCACCTAAATCAAATTCACTGACTTGGTCCACTAGAATCACTCATTTATCCTGTGACTAACTAGTCCTAGTTCTATCCCAGTTAATACAGCACCAGTCTATGTAGTAGTCTTGCAGATGCAATAAGTAACTCAGGCACCTTAGTTAATATATTTTTACAACTGCACTAACCGGTTTTCCAGAACTATGTTAAACCTCATTACTATTAACATAGTGGTTTCGCTAAGTAAAAATAATGCTCTGACGCTATTCATGAGCAAATAGCTGTACACTCCGTCTATAATCTGACTTAAACAGCAACCTTGAACAATTTCAATAAAGAGCGTGAAGCACACCTGAAATTTACTAGACTCCCAACAAGTAAACGAATATACAGCCAGTGCCACAAATAACGAGGGTCAGTAAATATTTAATAAATTCGTATCCAAACCATGATATTTATCAGTAGCGTGTTCATTTAGATTGATGAAATTTCCTCAATAAGAAAAGTTATTAGTAATCTTGGATAGGAAATTCGTTACATACGAATATATCTATTGAAAGTTTAGTCGCTTAGATCAGCAACACTACTGAACGTCTTAGCGGACAGAAACGAAGATAAACATTCAGCAGTAGAAACTCATTGACTGCTTACAGACATTTTTTACAGTTATTAACTTATGCGTCGGACAAAAATTAGGAATTAAAGATAACGTAGACTTTTTAGTGTGAAAATCAAAAAGAAATTCGTAAGGTGACAATGAAAGCTGCTAATCAGAAGCGAACCAAATGTTACTGGAAGTATGAGGTTGGATGATACTTCCCAGTCGTTCATAACAAGCAGTGTTACTTCTTGACACAACTGAAAGAGATTGCAATAGCTTTTCATGGCCGCAAAGTCAAATGGATGTTTATCTGAGGTTGATTACGTAACCTTTCTGGTATCGTTGGCTTTTATAGACTTAACTCATTCCTTGAAATACTTCACTGTTTGTGACAGAAAGTTGTAAGACAAGGCGCGATGGAAAGCCTACAAGCTTTTTATTTCCTAACGTTTTATCTAACAAAAGGATGACACAAGTGAAATGTTGTCCACTCGACAGAAAAACCCAACTACGTTCACATCCCTGTCCAATCAACAATTAAACTTCGTTTCCAGACCCTCATTAGAGTGTTTACTGTTTACCCTGTAACAGTAACTACCTTTAGTCGTACAACTATGCGGTAGGACCGTGAAGACTAATCGTTTTAGCCAGCACCGCCGTATCGCTACAATATACAAGCTAAACCACTTTGTCAAGGTAGCTACCTTGACGTTGTGGTCGGGTTTGCATATCACAATGACCCAACGAGCTATGCTGGTGGAACACTTGTTCCCTCGAGGACCTACCATACCAGAAAGGTCTGTTGGATAGTGGTTAGACGAAAAGCAGTTACCGTTGTGGTGTAAATTACTACACTATGATGGGGGTTTGAGCGCGAAGTCGTACTGTTGCTAGCTGGATGAGGTGTGACCAGTAAGGTGTTTCCCTTGGATGACCAGCAGTACCATGCTGATACTGCCTTCTCAGTGGAAGGGGGGGTTAGAAAAGGTTGGCCCCCAAAATAACACACCCCACTATACCCCACGGTCTGACAGGCTGGCGGTGTCGGTTCATTTGTCATTTCTTTTCAATCATCCGGCCCCAAAAATACAAAAGTTCAAAATAATCATACACAAAAGGCTACGTGTGACAGGCCTCAAGCAGATGTCCGATAGGCTCTGTGGTCACACAAATCTCTTTCAGGTACCTTAAGAAGAAATAGCCTTCCACAGTGTGGGCAGCCGGGAAGTGTCGACCGCCCTCACAACTCTGTCAGTACTCAAGTTTCCTCAGACTGCTATCCACCTCCTCCATCATTACCTTCTAATCTTGCTTCACGTCTCCCAATTAACAATGCTACATCATCTTTAATTTCTCCCAGTTCTGCAGCCTTTGACAACGATCTTGATCCTTGGTCTCCTTAAACCACGCTCCAAATTACATATTGGAATCTTCAATGTCAGCAGGCTTCGTTGGCTAAGACTCTAGCAACTCGGGGCATGGATGTGTGCTGTGATTGTGAGACAGGCATACAGAACCAAGTGCGGTTACTCACCTGACCTCTCCCGGCCAATCTGGTGAGTCCGAGTTTCTGGAGATTCGTTAGCTAGCTCTCGTGGTCTTGCAGGTGTAGGCATAGCACTAAGCGCTAGGGCAGAAAACACTACTAGACTGGATAGTCGCCTCTGCCCTGTCCGGCTGAACGGCTCAGTGCGAACTAAAACGAATAGCGAGACTCGCCGTTATCTCTTTGTATTCTCTGCTTACGCACTCACTGACTGTAGTTTGGATGAAGTGAAGGACGAGTTCCACCGTAAACTATCTAGCCTCCCTTCGGTGGCCAAACGTTCGGACGTGGTGGTTGTTGCAGGTGACTTCAATGCACAGGTGGGTAGACTGAATGAAGCAGAAAGGCACTTAGGTGGCACTTTCGGAATCCTGGCTGAACGTACAGATAACAGTGATCGCCTATTAAAACTATGCTCAGATAACCGCCTATTTTTAGCCAGCACCAATTTCAGACATAAAAAAGACACTGTCTGACGTGGCGTCCACTAAACTCAACTCAGTGATGGACACAGATAGACCACATTGCTATTAGTCATCGCTGGAGAGGATCGGTGGAAGACTGCCGCTCCTTCTGGAGTACGTGTTTGGATAGCCACCCCGCGTTAGTCCGAGCGCTTATATGCCTGCGTCTCAATGGACCTAGGGAATATTTGGCAACAAAACCACTACGAGTGTTGCTGGACAGCGAAAACACCAAAGCCGGTTTCAGTGAGAAGTTGGCTAGGTAGTTATCGGAACAAAAGACTATCACTCATCCAGTAAAGGCTTGGTGCCATCTTCAGTCTGCTGTAAAAGCAGCGCTGGAGACCATAGCCGACTCCGAAATAGTGGCTAAAAGAGCCAGTGGATATCAGCAGCTTCTTCCGAACTAATGGATGCACGTGAACGCATCCCTGCAGGCCCCGAGTACAATGAAAAGCGAGCGCAACTTAAAAGTAGACTGGGAAAAAGTCTACGCAACGACCGCGAACAGTGGTGGGGAATGAAGGCTAAAGAGATGGAAAAGGCAGTGGCGATTGGTAACAGTAGACAGTTACTTAGATTTATTAAGGAGACTGGGGGGAAAAGGTCAACTGTGGTTAGTGAGACCATAGCGGAGAAGGACGGGTCTGCGATTCACTCACAGGGAGACGACTGGAACGATGGACAGAACACTTCGAGGAACAGTTTAACTGGCCTCCAGCCACCATTACGTTGCCCGCTATCCAGTCGGATCCTGAATGGAACATTGAGAAAGGCCCCCAACACTTGCAGAAGTCGAGAGGGCGGTAGGTAACCTGAAACGAGGAAAGGCAGCAGGACCAGACGGACTACCTGCTGAGGCATACAAGGATGGTGGTAAGGTGCTCTTTTTAGTCAGGTTAACGGAAGTGTTAACCAGTATATGACAATCAAATACGATCCCCTCCGACTGGTCTAAATCACTGATTATCCCAGTCTTCAAGAAAGGCGAGAAGTCCTCTTGTGATAACTATAGAGGAATTAGCCTGACGAACATAGTGTTCAAGATGCTAGGTTCTACTATTCTTCGACGCCTGAGTGGAGCTCGGGAATAGCAAGCCCGAGAAAACCAAGCAGGCTTTAGACCCGGCCGTGGGTGTATCGACCAAATATTCACACTGCACCAGGTTCTGGAACATAGGCACGCTTACCGACGCCCGACAATAGCTGTATTACTCGACCTGAAGGCGACTTTTGACTCCGTTGATCGAGAAGTCTTATGGCAATGTCTCTCACTGAAAGGCGTGCCGAGTAAGTACATCATCTTGTTGAAGGCTGTCTACTCGAACACTTGTGGGTGTGTTAGAGCCTATGGTGAGTTGTCCAGGGAGCTATGCTCATCGAGTGGTGTCCGTCAAGGGTGCCCACTGTCTCCATTCTTATTCAATTTTATCATAGATATTCTCATGGAGGTCTCTCTCTCGTCACTTGACTACACAGACGTTGACCTAATCACAGGAGAATTTTCGTTAGACCTAGAATATGCAGATGACATAGTCCTGTTAGGTGAAGACGCTGACAGAATGCAGAGTCTTCTGAACAGTTTGAGTGGCAATTTGAGAATATTTGGGATGCGGTTCTTACCACCCAAATGCGAATTGTTGCTTCAGGATTGGTCTTCAACGGTTGCACGGCTAACAATAGAGAGTGTAGCGGTTGGGTGTGTCGACCACTTCACTTATCTGGGGAGTAAGATCAGCCGTGGTACATTGGTCAGTGGCCGATGGAATCTCTGCATGGATACAAAATGTTTGGCTGGCTTTCGCCAACTTACGCCACCTATGGCGCTGTCGTGATATCCGTTTGTCTATTAAGGGTCGCGTGTACTGCACAGTAGTCCGGTCTGTTCTCCTGTATGACTGTGAAACAGGGCCACTGAAAGTGGAAGGCATGAGAAGGCTTCAGGTGTTTGACCGCCGTTGCCTTTGAAGTATAGGCCGTATTCCATAGTGTCACCATGTAAGTGACGCAGACGTCGGGAGTAGAGTTTTGGGGAGAAGAGGTAAGTCGGTTGACGAGGTTGTGAACCTTCATCGATTGAGATGGTTGGGACACGTGTTACTTTTGCCTAGTCGCCGATTGCTTCGTCATACAATATTGGTTGAAGTAGGTCCAGGCTAGAAAAAGGCCCGAGGTGGCCAGACTAAAACATGGCACCACTGTATGAAGTCTCTGACTGTTGGTTTGAGCCATGTAGGGTGATGGAGACTAGGTGGTTGGGGTCCGTGGGACAAGAGGAACCAGTGGTTGGAGACTCTAGGGGATATGGCTCAGAATCGATGTCATTGGCGCAGATGTATACACACATTATCCTCGTCTTAACGACGCTATACCGAATATCACCACTTTCTCATTCTTCGTTTATCTCTTTTCGCACTTCATATTTCTTTTGACTGCATTCTCTTATATTCATCTTGCGCCTTACTGCCTTTTTACTTGATGTACTGATATGAGCTGTGGCAACTCGGACAGTTACGCAGTAATGCCTGGTCCTACGTTGATATTGCTGATGATGATGTCAAGGTAGCAGCTGTCGTTAAGATTTTTACCTTGTCTAGACACATAATTAGACTTCGATGTTACTAGCAATGGATATGAGAGGTTCATGGGACAAAAATGTCAATTATAAAGAAATGTTAAGCACCTTTACTTTTATTCGCAACAGATAAATGACCCTATGGGATGAAACAACAAGAGAAAAACGACTGAGACTTTATGATCGAAGTACTTGATTATCGGAAATGCAACCACATTAATACTTTTTCTGTAACTACTGTGGTCTCAGAAGATAAGTCTTCACCCTTCATATGTAGATAAGTATTCTTTAACTTTATTTGGTGGAATCATGTTTTCACCGAAAAACTCATGGGAAAAGTACTGCATTTTCTCTATTACTGCAATTCGGCTGGGACATCAGACTTACTTTTAAGTCTACCAACATCCTAATAACAGTACGCAGAAGTTGTCGATCGATAGCTTCTCCGCATCTCTCTTTACGTATTTCATCCAGTATTTGACAAAGCAGACGAGACTGAACCTTTTCCCGGGTGATTACATCTTCTCGGAATAACTTCAGAGCTAAATCCCTTTTTAAATGACGCGGAAGGCAAAAGAAAGGAAGAAAGATGGTAGTTATCAAAACATTTACCTAGTTGAGATGATAACTAGCAAATTATATATGGGAGAAATTTCAGAAACAAAATGGATTTCGATGACCTAAATCGGCTCTTTCGATTAAAATGTGGATCTCTCCATTGGTAAATCAATTTAGAGTCAGCTTTTAAAAAGAAGCACCAACAAATTAGTGCTGTTCTGAAGTTTCCTAGCAAGAAGTGTTTATTTAGACAGTATACTTTAGTAAATGATGGTATTACTTGACAGTGCAGATTCATGACGCATATGTTTTCGAGCACCCACGAAAACAGGTTAGGAGAGCCCACGCGAGAAATGTTTAAAAATCTCCCTACGACTCTTCATCCCTTTTGTTCACAGTATCCTAGCTCTTGGACTGCTTCGTGAGGTACAGACCTCAGTGCCCAATATGTACTAGTTTCGCATTGAAAAATATAATAAGCATTTGATTTCCCTACGTGTCTTGATGGTTTAAACTTCTCAGGTAATATAGGTCAACAACTATTAGCTTTAATGAATAAAGTTACCTCTTTTAAGTAACGTCTTACTTGACATTCTACGCCTGATTTATCCAAAAAATTTTGTCACTATTGGCAATCGGTAACAGTAACTAACATCAGCTAACTCCCACTTATTGCTTCATCCATAGTATACGATGTTCTCGATACTAACCTAGACTTGACACTTTAACTTAAAACTACCAAGACGTTATGGTATATAGCCAGCTGTCCGTTCGACTTGATTAGTTTTCCGAGTAATTAATTACTCATCACAATTTAATACGAATTGGTGAACTACTTTGTAGAGGTTTGTGTGTTAATCTATTTATCTGACAGCTAATTCGTTTTGTCTCTAGACACCTTTAACAAAATTATTCGGTACTTTGTATCTTTAATTTGAAAGACTACTTGCATATTGGCAAAAACAAGCCGAAAAACATTTCATAATCCTCTAAACAGACTTATGGGACTTATTTCCCCAGTGTACAGTGTGACCAGCTACATCACAAGTCCGATACATTTAGAAAGTGATCATACTACTGACACCCACCATGCTAACAATTAAGTGGTGAACTGATCGCAAGCAAATTGCAACCGAACGTTACTAACTAGTATCTGGGTATTAATAGCTTCAAATTATCCCTTGAACTCAAAATGATTACATCATCGTTTCCCTTAGATTGAAGGCTTGAAATGTGAACCAGGTTACCAAACGACTTGATACAACAAAATACTTTCGACCTAAGACTACTATTACAATTAGCCATGAAAATGGGCTCGATATGAAAGGAAATAAGTATGAAACAGAATGATAAACAATGAGTCTGTCAACTTTAAGATACAATAGATAACAGACTCCTACAATTAAATTATCGAAATCGTGTTAGTTTTATCTTTTAAAAATACACGGTTTGAAATAGCTTTTACTGATGAACTTATATCGCTTGTTCATAACCATACTGTATATCCAAAAGACTTCATTTTATATAAAGAGAAAATCCATAAAAACTGGGAGATTTAAAGATGAACAAACAATGCCCAAGTGAAACATGCGGTTGAATACCTTTAAATTCTATCCTTTTAATTTTAGTGGCTGTGTTGCTGGTCAGACATTTGCCTATATACACCTGGTGGTGTAGGTAAAGTGGGACATACGAGCACGTCTTAACTAGGTAAAGTTACACAAATCGCATAGATCAGTTGTTGTTTATAGCCTCTAAAACACCCCTGAAAGACTTTGCAAACATTCTTGTCCCAAGGAGCTTACATTTGACCCACTAGTCAGAACAGCATGTTATCATGAAAGGGGGTAACTGTTTATCACGATTTAGGTGTTTCAAAACAACCTTCAGGAAAATAAGTAGTTCAATGCTAATACCCTGAGCCACTGGTTAGATTATATTCATTAATAACAATCATATATTAAAATCAAAATATTACTAGGAAAAGTAAACAAAAACAAAACCCTGGGATTAACTCACCAAATTTGCAAATTTTGTGCATTAAGTAGAAGAAGTTGCCTGTCCATGAAAAGAAATATGTTCCTAATAAGAAGCTAAATATATGAATTAAATAATGATTGGACTGACCATTTTTTTACAGTACAACTCCCAACAGTGTGCCACTGCACTGAGTTGAAAACCTTCCGTGAAGAAAACACGTCAAGGAAATAGGAAAAAAAAAGCAAGGTTTGATTTCAGAGTGTTTTCATCAAACTGGTCCCGCAAAATAATGTGGAGGAGACGACAACCCGATATAACGTTCCATTTATTAGCCATATGGAGCTGATACTGAAATAAGGTGTAGAGTGCTGTCTACTTACTGCCATGACCTAATCACCAACGATGGTACCCTATTATAGGTTATTCTGACTCGGATAAAACTCAAAACCTATTCATATTACCTTTGTAATCAAACCAAACAAACAACGCAACACTAACTAGTTCCGAATGCTTTCATGAAGTCTCTCACTTTATTGAAGTATCTTGAAAAGGTTGTTATTATTCAATGGAAGATAGTACCTAGTGGTGATTATCAAAACAGCAAGGAAAGCTTAATGCTACTACCATCAACAACTATCCTTAATGCGTAGTATATGGTTTATATATATATATATATATATATATATATATATATATATATATATATATATATACTGGCTTCAGGTATTTATTAAAGCCCAGTGGTCTAGAATACACCATAATGACTACAGCTATACACATAAAATAGAACTATAGTCACCTATTCGCATTTTTTCGTAAGCACATGGAATAGAAGAGTTTCAATACTGGAACAAAGGGCTTTCTTATCCATATAAGTAGTCTGTTGTCATTCAGTGGATTTTTTCGGCATTTACAATTCCTAAGACAACTACAACTCCCCATGAAAATATGGTGGGGTAATAACGCCTCGAAGATATGCTAGCATTTCTTACATAATAATCAAGAACAAATGATCTTGGGCTTTCCGTAAGACTTGCTTTCCAACTTATAAACTACTCTGATGTACGCCAAAAAAGATATGTAGTTGTCGGTAAAAAGGATATCTCAAAAACTGAGGGTGTAGATCAGCCACAAATTCGCTGAACAGGACCTTAAGGTTTCCATACAGTTCCAAAATCATCTTCTGAGCACATATATCCTCGACATTCTACAATTGGATGTTTGAAAATAAAGTATATTCGAACCCTGTAGAGCTCCTCCAAAGTCAGTTCAATAGGCTCACTTAGAAAAACTGCCCTTGTCGCACTTTGAAGCTTATGGCATGAATCCTGGAAAATTTGTGAGGCTGAAGGGAGTCCATTTAAATCTGCAAGAAATATGTACACAGTCGTGCTTACTAGAGATAGCCTTCAGTGAAAGACGTTTCGCAGTTGGGCCACAGTGTTCAACAGAATGTGAAAAACTCTTGCGAAACCCATTTACTGGCGTGTTACATTCCATAACTATTAGATCCTATGCAGGCATCACGAGAAAGTAGCGCAGCTCGTTTCGAAATGCGCGCTTCGAACTTCAGTCTCCAGTCTAGATAAGCAAAACTCCATGTAGAAGCAGCTAACGACAATGCATTGAACTCCACGCCAGCCCTAAAAGAAGGCTTTGCTTTTTTAAAGGAATCACAGTTATTGTCTCGGTCCCGAGAACCACCGTTAATTAGTGAACTCTCTTTTGTCATTTTTACTACACAATATATATACAACAACAAGAAGCTTGTTGAGTGCATTTTATTTGAGCCACACGAAATTAAGTTGGCATTTAGTCTCTGTTTAGTGGCATTGGGTGAGGAGGCCATATTAACCTTAAAAGTGGAATTCGACAGTTTACTGTTTCAACCTGAAAACTAGTAGGCGCAAAATGACTTCCTGTCGATGCTTGCTCTACTCCAAATGGATCCTCAACAAGGTGGAGCATTTGATCACACCTTAACAGCAGCCTGCTCAGATGAGAGGAGTCCTACATGATATGACACACCATGACCACATCCTTTCTCATCCCTCTCTATTGTGCAGGTTGCAGCTAAAGTCACTCAGGCTAGATCTGTGCCATGACCCCATCACCTTTTCGTGGTTTTCCCCTTAGCCCATTATAGGACAGCACTGTCTTTCCTGAAGTATGTGTGCATAGCTAGCCAATTTTTATCCGGATTTTGAGGTATATGAAGTCTATATATTGTTATGAAAAGGCCCAGAGATTTGCTTATAGTTGCAGGCACCTAGTTTAATTATATCCTTATTTACAGGGGAGGCAGCCACCTGTTTACAATCAGAGGCCAACAGACGCCCCACGGATGAATATCCGAGTAGGGTTGCCTATAGGATGGATTTAACCCCAGCACACTCTTTGAATTCTCTTAGATGGATACCATCAACTTCTGTGGATTTGTTTGGACTTCAGCCGGTTGATTTAAGGAAGCTCAAATTCCGCGTAACCGTGTTCCTTTAAAATTTGAGTCCTCAGATGGTATTCGTCCCTTCCAGTCGACAGAAGTTACGCCGAAACTCCTGGGGTGACAAGCTAGCCACCTCGCAGCCAGAGTGAAAAACCTCTGGCCTTGCCCCGTAGTAAATGAAAAATCGCTCCCCCTCTTCATCAGCTGGTACAGTACCCTCTGACTCATCTTTATTATTCTGCATAAACGTTCCTAGTGGCCTACTGCTGACGCTTGCTTTGCATCTATCACGGATTTCTCGCTGAAATAAGCAGTCAAAAATGCTGTTAGTGAACCTCATTCATCCCAAGTTAACTGTGCACATTGTTCTGGTTTTTGAGCGCTTGAATTAAACCAGGAAAAGTTAAACTTATTTCTAGTAGAGAGGAACAAAGGTGTTCAATGGATCACGCTCTTTAGCAGTCCCCATCTGAAATCTGGAACAAGAGAGGAATCGAAGTCATACCAACAAAAACCTTCTGGATCTTGTTTCACCCCTTATAATCAGCTTTCCTGTGGTCCCTGAGTGTTGACTTAAATACACATGGGATGGAGGAAGCAAGTCATTCTATTTAAGGGGGATATGGCAGTTTTAATTGGCTGCAGCAATGATCTGACTGGTGAGAACATGATCCGGTCGAATCCCTTATCATCACAACCCCATTAAGTATTTCCAGGGATATGCTCACCCAAGCAGTTTCCCGGTGACAATTCCAAAATATAATTCATAAGATCAGGTAAACAAGAGATGCCGAAGGACTTTTCCGCATTGCATGCTACTTGCGTTCCCTTATTTAACAATGACACTACGAATGCATTTTTTCTGCTCAGCGCTTGAATGATGATTGACTGATTACGACTTTGAAATTGGATCCCGTTAAAAATGAATTCTATATTATATCCGCCCACGCCTTCTGGTGGAGCAGTGTTTCACGGAGAGCTAACAAAGCGTGAAAGCTTTCCGGGCTCTCATGTTCTTACTTGGAGTCAGGCGCACGTACGCAATAAACATTGGTGGGCCGTGACTTTTTGGTCCCTTAGGCGGTCATGGAGGAGGGCAACTCGGCAGGACATTGGGGAAAACATCCAAAATTCTTGTGGATACTTTCAACAAAAGTATCGGAACTTACGGACGCTTCGCAACTTCGTGAAAATGGCTTCTTTTGAAAACAAAACCTGTGCAAGTTGTTGCATATTTGAATGGTAAATGTCGACAAACCAGATCACGTTGTTCATGCATGATATTAGTATGGGAATGAATGAAATTGTTACCAGTTATCAGGTCGTGAGGTCAAAGTAGAGATCTGAGTGCTTACATCCATGTGACTAGATGTAAGTTTATGAGGAAAATACTCTGAATGGCGAAATCGGGTTGTTTTCGTGGAGGTATGTCCGAAATAACGCGTCACAAACAATGATCATAACAAAGTACATGCAACGGGAAAATGATCTGAAAATCATACCTCATCACCCTAGTTGATAGTATTGACACTTATTTGGATAATAATGATGTTTATTCCTGAATATACAGGCACACACCATTTTTACAGGTATGAACAAGTCTAAGTATGAATTACATGTTTCTTCATGGAAGGTAATCTCAATCCCCACCTTTTGTCGCTAGAAGATATAAGTGCTGCATATTCGTGTGATGGAACATCCCAGAAGAATAAGTATGCAGAAAATTTACAAGTTGGACGAGTGGAAGTGTTGTCTTCTCATTACCAAAAAAACCAGATTTGTATCTAGACATAACAGGTATTACCTGGAGAAAAATAAAGCTTGAAGCTAATTCTTCCATTGTAACAGTTTGTACTTTTTACCTGAGATAGTGGTGAAAAGTTTATGAAGTAATGTATGCACGAATTGTTTACATATTATGCTTCACTGACGATTCCAGGACCGTATAGTTCATGCATGTCAATACCATTCCACGACAAAGATTCATAATCTTGACGAGTATTATGACTAAAAGCCAAATATCTTCACTTTTCCGACTCCGGTGCCCAGAAGCAATAGATTTGTTTCGATGCGCCAGATGAACTTTTGGGACACCTTATCCTTCGTTTTCACGGGCCGTGACAACCTTGCGATTGGTAAGCGTTGGACTTTGCTGGTCACTTTTATGACCAGTAAATATTAGATTTTGGTAACTATGAAGTTGTAGCTCAGTGAACGTTTTTTACTTCTGCCTGTTGTAGTTAGATATTTTGAACGCGGTAACACTGGCTACCCTCCATGAATGGTAGTTTCAGCCATGGTCTGTTACTTAAATAATTAATTCTCGACAGCAACCAAGCCAACGTTTAAAAATGAATTAATTTTCTACAACGAGAAAATACGGACAAAGCAGCGGGCTCAGAAAGCAAGAATTCCAACAGGGAGAATGTTTTCTATGTTCATGTTTCTCCCTACTTAACTTTCCTTGCTATAGCATTCATTGTATGCGCTTTTTCTATGGAGTACATAAAAATATAAATTTCATGCTGTCACGCTGTAGAATTTATGTTTTTGATTACTGCGTTGAGTGAGGCAAAATGTGCCGTTAGTTTAAGGTGATAACTTGCGGAAGTCTCCTCGATGCTTCATGTGAAGGGCCAATGTAGGTGTCGTGGATGTCTCCTTATACATTAAAAGGGCTGAGTAAACGAAGTGTCGAGAAGGATGCTGTAGGTGTATTCGATAAGAAGTTAGCTAGTAACCGATCGAATCCAGAGGTTGATTTGGAGGCCTTCACTTTAGCCGGAAGTCTGTTCCACAACAAAGAATTTGACGGCAAAAAAGTTTGCATGCAAGCAGGATTTACACGGTATTATTGTGATGCTATGGACGTGATTGCGCAGATCGTAAGAACTGTTCTGTTGGAAATGAAACTCACCACTGGCTGTAAAAGTGAGTTTATGTAACACATTAAAGAAGAGTGTTAGGTTACTTTAGAGTCGTCTCATCCAAAGTGTTTCTAGACTTAGTATTCTGCTTCTTGAGCTGTAGTCCTGCTTGCCAAATTCCCAATTTGTTCAGCTCCATCAGGTCAAATTTTTATCCTTAAGTCTGCAGTTTCAACAAAGTTTGGTAGGCAGGCGTCACATGACCTTAATTCCAAGAGCCTTCACTAGAAAGCTGATAATAATTTGTTATCTTATAGGCGATCCATGCCGCTATTACTTACAATTTCCTCCATCACCCTGAAAACTACTGGCACGGGTTTTATTGGATAGCAATTATCCGAATGTACCGGCGCCTCAGATATGTGGGTCCCGAGAGCGTGGGTAGTTTACCAGATAGGTGGTGGCACGTGCAGCTAAGCGACGAGGAAGGTAACGTCGGATGCATCAGCAGCATATCTTCACCTCCAGCTTTAGGTACATGGCGGTTATCATAAAGGCGCTAAATGTAAAGGGGGTTATGTGGAGTTAATTAGCGCAAAGACATTTAATGAATCAATCAGTAAAAAATATTTCGTACGGTAAGATGAAAACTCTGATTATATAGGAGGGTATCGCCAACTCCGTCGTTTCTGTTTGATGAAGAGGTATCGAAGCGGTTACTGAACAGCTACACAACTCGCTTGGAACGTTTCGTGCTCCACCATTACCGAAAATACACCGTATGAAATTAGATCTAGAAGATCAAAGTCCGCGTTTGAGAAACTTTGTGACAGATTTTATGTTACCCGGTCTTGAGGCTTTTCGCTCCTGTAAAATGGTATCTTCTGCGAGTTGCAAATCAGCACAAACCTAAATGATGTATATAGTGACTAGGAGATGAATTTCCGTTTTTCCCAGGAAAAAGAGTGACGTGTATCCAGGGGGGTGTTGAGAGAGGTGCTAAAGTCGCGATAACTTCGTACAACATTAGAGTCTGTTTGGAGCTAACAGTAGCCACTAAATTGTGGCTTTAACACGATAACACTTTGAACGTTCACTGATAATCGGCGGTCAACACCTTCCATGGAGGGAATGGGATCACTAGGAAAACGTTTTGCACCTTGTTTAGTCTACCTGAATTACTAACATAAGTGAATGACCTAACAAACTCAAAGCAGATGGCAAAAAATTCATACTGCCGTGATCCTTTTT